ACTGGCTGCACCCAAGCCCACACATGTATCCACCAAATAAATGGAGGAGTAAACTGCACAGAAACAAAGGACTGGAGGACGTGGAACTTAAAGACACAGTCACCAACTTATGTATTCAGAGTGCTTTAGAGGCACATTTTATATTCTTGTTGCCAACACTAATATTCCATAATTTGTTTGGTACTTCATTAAATGGGCTCTGAAAACATGCATGATGCTATTGCCAACTTCCTTTCCACACACAGAACAGACACATTGGGCAAAACAATTCAATTCTGTCTTCCAAACTTTTCCTGTACAGTTCTAAAATAGGTGTTTCCAATAACAATACCTGTTTAAGGAGTGTCTGCAGCTTTCCTTCCACCATCACTTCTGTCTGTGTACCCTCCCTCTCTTCCCCCCACCCCATCTGTGTTTGTACCACTCTGAAAATCAATCAGAATCCTACCAGGCTTTTAGAAGGCTGGTAAAAGAGGGCAGAAAATGAAAGAGGGAGAGGGGTTAGGGCATGAAAGATGAAACATTGACTTGGATCACTCATTCCACCATTTGACTCTGTACACAGTTTAGACTGTTACCAACCAGCTTCTAGAACTGAAACATAAAAGTGTTATTTCAACATGACAAAAGCTGCCTCAGGCAGGCAAAGGAAATATCCACCAGTGGCATTTCAAATCCTAGATTACCTTCTCTAAATCTTTTTCAATTGTTGTATATCTTACTTGAGGTGAACATACCAGCCTCAGACACAGCATTCAGGATGCAGGTTCAGATGAGTTTTGGATGCATGGGTAAGAGTGCATAATGATGTTTCCATGCCCAAGTCATTTTATTATATCATTTGTTTCTTTCACTGCTATCAAGACCATGGGTTTTTAGCATAGCCCTGAGATTTCACCTCAGCTTGAAACAAGGCATTGGGGTTTTTTCAGATATTTATATATATAAATTTACAGTTACATACATTAAATCACTTGAAGTACCAAAGCGGTTTTGCATTGCTCCACACTTTTATCTTCACTTTTCCCTGAGTAACTTGGCTAATCACTGTTCATTGTACAGTATTATTCCAAACAGGTTCTCAGAATATACTAGATTTAGTCATGTTTCATTTTACATTTCAACTAATTCCAAACCATTTCTATTAAAAAAGGCATACAGAGTATATCTCATTTGGAATGCTTAAGCCAGTTTTTAACTTTCTGCTCTACATGGGAGATTTTTATAAGCTTTGAGGAAGACATATCATATTATCAGGTTAAGTAGAAAAAGATTCAATAATTACTCTTCATTTCAAAGTTCCTTACAGTTTGTGCTAGATTCACCTAAATTAACAAGATAGGAAAAACCAAAAAACCAAAGCTTCTTCTCATGTATAATGCCAGAGATTTATATTTTTTTCTTATCTTAAAGGAGGACCATTTTAGTTCATAACATGTGCAGAAGGCAACCACTGTCTTTTGCTGTTCCTACATTTGCTCTGGTAAAATTCCTTCTTCTCTTTAATTATAACATAATCATATGTAACACACACATCTGTTAATGGTAACATGATCACCAGCTTCATTGCATTCTCAAATGCCTTGATAAATTAATCAGCTCTAAACTCTGAGTGTCTGCATTATCATTCTGAGAACAAGGTCAGACATATGACATGCCAAATAAATCAGTCAAGGTCAGGCTTAGATAAGCCTCTTCCTAACGTGATGATTACAGCTTTTTCTGAACAGCATCAGCTAGCTTCTCTAAATACAGATGCAAATTTGAAGTGCTGTGCAGTTTGCAACTGCCCTCCTGAGCTGATACAATTTCAGTGGAATTAGAACAGTATTAGCTGCAATGTGCTAGAACCTTTCACCTGCAGCATTACATTCCAAAAGCTATTTCCTAATTTTACTGAAACAGTGGCACTTCATCTACAGTGACAGAGCACTCATGGTTAAAATAGTACAATCCTGGACTGTTGTGTTGTAGAGCCAGATTAAATAACAGAAATTTTTCTATGACATTAAAACTGGAGTAGGATTCATATTAATCTCTGTTCTAGCACTTGCAGTTATGGAGAAATCTGTTCTTAATCAGAAAGACATTAATTTTTAAATTTATTATTAAATTAAAGATAATTATTATCCCACAGAGGTATGTCATGGAAGAACAAAACTTTTCCTATTGTTAAATGGAGATAGTCTGGTCTCAGTCTCAACAAACAAGCAATAAAGTCAAGAATAGTGACAGCCATCTCAAGACCACACAAGCAAAAGACATAACACAAAAATAAGTTTAAAAGTTAAACTGTAGCAAAGAAAAATAATATCTTAAATATTTGTGACTTTATTTCAAATTCTCTATTAAAAAAAACCAGAAACCAGATAACGACAACAATAAAAATCCAAAAAAAAAACCCCAAACTAGCACCATGTTAGTGAGCATGAGAACAGAATCATGATGACAAACAACCCTGCTCTGCTCTTCTATCAGATAACCTCGAGTGTGTTTCTAACATCATTTGCAAACAGATCTATGTGGCATTCACACAGACTAAATGCACTGCACATTACTTGCCAACCTATCTGACACCTCCAGCAGATGAAATTTCTGTTGATTTAACACTGGCATAAAAACTACTTCCTTTCCCCATGCTAAAACGTTCTTAACAGCCTATATATCACAAAACACCCTCATTCATTGTAGCAATCTGGATGATTCAGAAGGAAAATACGTATCAACACTCTTGTACATAGAGGTCCTGATACAACCTGATCTATCAAACATCCCTATCCACATTTCTTTGTATGACAAACCACTACTACAGCACTTCCACTGCTGTTTTGCTCATGAAGTACAACAGAATGGGCCTTCCCACTAATCTTTGATGTAGGTTTCTTGTATACTGCCATCAGGTATGAATTTTTCCAGCTTGCAGTAATATATTAAAAAAAATAACAGGCCAAGTAGCTTCAATTGTTTATGTCTCCTGGGTATTTCAAATTAATTATTAACCAAATAATTAACAGTATATATAAGATGACAACAGATCAGTCAGGAAATTTCCTGCAGAGAATGGTTCTACTCTCCTGATAAATGATATATCAAACTCAACAACAAATCTCAGCCTGCAGGCATAAAGATAAATATAAAGATAATGCTGTGCTTCAAGAAATCATTGAGTACAAATACCAGCAAAATTTAAAAAAACCAACCCAAAAATGAAAGAAAACACCTCCTTCCAATTAAATATGTTAAAAGTTTTACTTCCAATAAAAACAAAAATTTCAATTCAAATGGGAAGAGAACTGGTACTTAGACCAACATTAAACAAATAAATTTCACTTTTGTATGTCTTATTAAATTTACCATTAGATAGACTATGTCATGCAAGTAAATAAATGCTATTTATAAATATCTCTAAGTCATAGCAACCCAGTCATAGAGCCATTTCCCAGACTGTGTTATTGTTATGCCAAACAGACTGCTCTTTCATTTCTTGTCAGTCGTAATTACAGCTCCATAATTGAAATACAGTAAATTACCATGGACTAACTTTGAAAAGATGGTTCATTGAGGTTGAGCTGTCACTACGATTACTGTGTAATAAAAAATGATAATTTAAATGTTCTACTTTTCTCTCAAAGAAAAAAACTAATTCAGTTCATGCAGCTCAGACAAGTCAAATATCTTCATGATGATGTAAAACAAAGAGAAACAACACATTTAAGCAAAGCTGAACAACCTCAAGTACAAGTCCTAGGCTGCATAAACAAACTAGCATTTATAAAATTTTCTAACCTCTGAAGAAAATTGCACATTTAAAACAAACCTTTAAAAGGATAAAATCTTCTGTCAGAATTCAATCATACAATACCTATCCAGCATCTTCCACATGAGCTCCTACTTTGCTCATAGAGCATATAAAGCTTTGGAAACTTCTTTCCAGCTTCAAACTTAATTTTCCCTCAGTTCTGTGTTACAACCAGCAGGGTAAGTACAACCCACCTAAGAACAGTGTAGGTAACAGACATAAATTAGCATGGATATCTCTAAGCATAAAACTGGGCCTACAGTTCTGACATACTGGTGAAGCCCACATCACCTGCAGAAATATTCTCAAACATTTGAGAAATAAAATGAGGGAATACAGAAAAGACACAAAAAGTTGTCACTGTAAAAAGAATGCTCAAAACTTTAAGAGAACTGTCCTCGTAAAAAAAAAAAAAATCTTTCAATATGTTCCTACCTGCTGTCTCTATAAAGAAAATTTCACAAAGGACATCTTTTGGAAAACAATAATAAATACACACATCTGAAACTGTTCCTATTCTCCCTCTCACAAAGACTTCCTGCAGATGCTGGAAGAGGCAATTCCTTCAGTTCTGTTTTCTTCCTGTCTGATTTGAAACACCCAAATCCCTGCTGTTTTTTTGTGCTCACATTCCTTTGACTATTCAGTAAACAAGCATAAGCTCAATAAATGAAAAGGACACAAAATAAAACACAAAACCCTGCACTGATATTGAGAATTTGAATGGGCAAGGTGGAACAATGCAGCCAGGGAACAGGATATGACACAAGAACCTGAATGTAGGAACAGTGAGCTGCAAAGAACTGCAGAGAACTGCTAGAAATGATCTCAACACTATGACTGGCAAAGCACCCTGGAGCTCTTCAAGGGTACCCTCAAGGTTTTGGTGACTCTCTTTAACCCAGGACAAGCAAATGGTTCTCTGCACTATACTCCCATCTATTCTCCCTCAAAGTTTGCAATTAAGCAAATGCAGTAAATAAGTGCTTGAAGAAAGGACCACAACTTCAGCTGGGACAAACAATCAAAACATGAGATGTGTATGAAATAAAACTTAGTATCAGCAGCCAAGAACCTCCTGACCTAAATAAATCTTTGTCTATTTTGCTAAGAAAATAAGAGTATCTGAAAGCATCTGGTTTACAGCATCTGAGAGAGGTAGGATCTTCCCCTGCAGAGGTAATTGTTAGCCCTCACGTACCTCTGTTGCTTTCTCCAGGCTCTGGCGTAGATCCAGCAATTCTTTATCGTGCTGCTCTTTAAGTTTGTCCATCTCTGTGTCATGGCTGGATACCTCTTCTTTAAGTGCTCCTTTCAAAGCTGTGAGCTCCCTCTCTCTCTTTCTCAAAATCTCTTCTTGTTGATCTTTTGCTATCAATACTTCTTGCAGATCCTGCTTCATTTGCATCAGCTCCTAAAGCCCAAAATAAAACACAGCTGTGTGTCAAATAGCCCCTGTGGATGTTCTGTTTGTCTCACAGAAAGAAGGCACTTCAGCTCCCCAAGGACAACTTTGTTCCATATGACTGACATATTTCTTACAGCTTTTATTGTAAGCTGAAAATTTGCTCAACTCTAATATTATTAGAAGTATAACACATAGCTGATATTTTATATAATAGGTCAACATATCTGATGCTGCAAAACTATCAAAATATTTTAATGGTGTATGTTATGCCATCTGCAAATAATGCAGGAGTCACTCCTACGTTGTGCTTTCACTAGCAATGAGATAGATAAGACCAAAGATAAAGCATTTTCCCCCACTGCAAGAGAAACAAACTCAGTGATAATTCTTTGCTTTCTTTTCTGCTGGAAAGAATAAATAAAGTTGCTTCTTCAAGTGGTGAAGACAAAACAAGTGCTTCCCAATCAAGTCCATGTCTTCACACCCTTTCTCCTCCCACCAGGGCAACCCTAGAAGTCTTTCCCCACCACAAATCTCTGGGAAGGAACTGGAGAGTCAGTGAATCTGAAGACTAAAGATGCATACAAAAACACAGAATAACAGAAACAATCAGAAATGTAGCGCTTCAGGAATTCTCTGATTTGGTATTTCTCCAGCTGTGAGTAATTGTACTTTCAAATGGAATGCAGACTTCCCCTGCACTGAAGGAGGATCAGGACACCTAAACCACTCCTGACACACATCACCTACTCTGCCATTAAAAGCCTACAATGGAAGGGATCCTACCATCATCCCAGGCAGCATCTTCCTCTGTTTAATTATCAGTATTAACTGAAACTTTCTAACATTTTCTTTAAATCTCTGGAGCTAAGTTTCTCATTTCTTACTCCATCTCCACACAACATAGAAAAATTGATCACTATCCCCTTTACAGCAACATTCTGTAAGATGTGTTTTTGACTCTTCCCTCACTTCTCCATTCAGATTGAAGTCCTTCTTCAAAGATACTGTTTTTCAGTACTATCATCATCATCATCATTTGTGATATTCCCCTACTTTTGTTCACCTTTCAATTACAGTGCCTGAGATTTAAGACACTCATTTAAGAGTAATCAAATCTCACCCATACAAAACAAGGTAGTTATTCTACTCAGCAGATCTTGCATGCAAACATCTTTAATATTTCTGCACTGATACTCTTAGACATCCTTATCAACAAATTTAATAAGCTGTGTTCTCTATTTCATCATCAGTATATTAGTATAACCAGGGTTACAGCCAATTCCTCTTTCATCCCAAGGTGACAGAAACTCTGTAACTCTTTTGCTCCTCTTCAGACTCATCCCTTCTCTCCCTGGCCCCACCAATGGAAAGTAAATAATTTAGAGACTGCTTTGTTGAGTTCTTTTAATTTTTTTAGCTGAATCTCATCTGGCTTTGATAATATATAGATCTTTTTTAAACTGATCTTCCCTGCTCTTACCCCAGCTCCTAATTGCTAAAACTGAGATTATTATCTGGTAATAGTGGATAACTCACCTGTCTGTCAGCCATTAAGACATCTGACCTCCTGCTCCATAAAACAATGGTACTTACACTCTGTATTCCTTTTAGGGTTAATGTTGCTATCCTAACATGCTTTCTTAGGGCCCCTAATAATGCTTTGGTTAATAGCAGAGGAAAAGCCAAGGCATGGATTTCTGTATCTTAGTCTCCACTTTTCATGCAATTTTACTGATCCCCCTTCTGTTCTGATAGTTTCTAGCTTACCTCAATCAGAATCTCTTTCTCCCCTTCATCGGTGTGTTTGGCATTATCCAGTTCATCGTGCATCTCAGAGAGTTGGTCTTGAAGATCTCTGATCTCAGTCTGGTGTTTTTCCTGCTCCATCTTCACTTGAAAAAGCCTCATCAGTAAAAATCAGACAGGAATTTTTTAATTTGTAGAAATACTAGTTTGTTCATTCAAGAACTAAAAAGACACACATTCCCATGTTGCCCACAAGAGAATGGGATAAAATTCCCATTCTCAAAAAGGCAGAAAAATTAAATGTCAGAGGGCTAAAAATGAGAATCTTCTAACCAGGTATTTAAGTGGGGAGTTGTATTTTATTTCAGACCTGGTACTTTAGTCATTGAACTGTTTCCACATTTCAAAGACTTGAACTATATATTTTGACCGTAAAATATTAAAAGCAATTTGCATTCAGGGGAAGATTATAAATTCAGCAATCTTTCTCTTCCTTCCAGATATTCTAAAGACATGACTCTTTTAAATGGTAGAAACATCTTCTACAGTAACAAATGTCACTTGTCTGGTTCCATCAACATATTCAGGAGACACAAGTACTTTTAATCTAAAAGGTTTATGAAAAGATAAAATTTCAATGATATCTTTGCTAGAATTAACTCACTCCTCCAGGTTTTGCCTGAGTTCCTTCTCATTTTCTTCCAGCTGCTTTTTTAAGGCTTCCTTTTCACATATACTTTGATCAAGCTGCAACTGAAGATCTTTCAGACTTGCTCGTGTAGCATCTCTCTCTTCTTTGGAATTTTGCTGATTCTGAATTTTATACACCAAAAGTTAGGCAAAATAATAGACAGCAGCTACATGATTAGTACAGTTTGTCTCTCAGTCTGTGTCTGTCTCACTGCAATAAACAGATTAACATTTACCTCAGTAGACACCTAAGAAGTGCATTGTGCATGTGCTTAACACTTTTATTCACTGCTCCAAACTCCTTTTCAAATTCTAAGAACAGATTTGTTACAAAGGGTAACAATGCTATGACCAACCACCCCTTAGATAAAAATCTTCTGAAAAAGCACAGGTAAATCCGGATTAAGAAGAATATGAAGCAAAAGGGATTTAAGCTGGAGGATTAGTTGTCACTTATTTTTAAAAGTGTATTTAAAATATTCAGAAACTTTATAACAATAAAGTGCTGTACCCTAATTTCCAGTTCCAGTTTTTTCTCTAACTCTTCCACTTTCCTTTCAAGTTCTGCTTTTTGTTCCACCAATACCTTTACTTCAGCCGAAGAATCCGAAACCTACAATTAAATAGAGACATTTATTCCCACAAAGCCAAGATGTTTTTTGAGAACAGTTTCTTTTTTAATCTAAAGCAAAACTACAGGCAAGACTAACAAAGCATGGCATCAACTGCCTGAGCTCACCAGGAATTTTTCACATGGGTCAGGCCAAGTTAAGATTTTCAAAGGAACCATGATTTGGTTTTCATAAAACTTCTTGGAAATTGCTCAAGGCATGTTGACAATAAAACAGAAAATATACAAACGTAAAGAAAAATTCAAATTAGGCAACATATGACTCAAATTATGTGTACTTTGGGCCAGTTTTACTGAGATATCACTAATTATGCAAAATGGACATCAAAGGAATGCTCATATGTTCAGACAGATTTTCAAATACATTTTTTGGGTAATTTCCTAGGATATATTTTGCAAATAAATAATGCTGTCATTAATAGCAAAAGCTACACGAGTCTCTCATGCTATGTCTATCTCGCAGCAATCAAAAGATTAACATTTATCTCTGCAAATAAATTTTATCTTTACCCAAGAAATTTTATGTGAGCGTGCATAACATTTTTCTTCATTGCTCCAAACTCTTTCTCAAGTACTAAGAGATTTCCTAAAAAGGTTAACTGTGCTGTGAGCAGCTACACTTAAAATCTTCTGAAAAAGCACATGTACATCTAGATTAAGAAGAATATGAAGAAAAAAAATTTTCATTTTTACTAATTATACCCCAGGATAAAATAATAGACAATAAGCATTTAATCCTTCTCATGCCATCAAAATTAAGCCCTGTTCCTGAGGGACCACATGAATAGCCTAGTAAAAGTCACTAAGGGGATTCAGATTCTTAAGGCCCTGTCTGAATACTGCACCACCTTGAAACAAGCCAAAGCAAATTAAAGATTTTTTACCTGTGTCTTTCCAGCAGCTCTTGACTTTAAAGTCTGAATTTTCTCAAAAACCAAGTTCACTTTCCTCTTTGTTGCATCGTCATTATCAGGACTTCTAAAACAGACAGTACAAATAAGCAATGATATGATCAAAGTCACCATTTTGTTAACATAAACCAAATTCAGACTGTCCAATCTAATAAAAATCTCCACAGAACCCCCCAAAATACTACAAACAAATCAGAAATTATCTTAACTGTGATTTGCTAAAATCTTCAAAGAGAGGAGTTAAAAATTTGTATTCCAAATGTTTTCTAAAAAGCCAACCAAACAAAAAAGAGCACTGAACTCTTGAAGTGCAAATCTCTTCTGGAAGACTGTGACTGTGGAAAGACAGATATTCAGCATGTCTATTACTCAGACATATTGAAATAAGAAGTAGTTCTAGGTTTTAGAAGTCCTGACTACTGCACCGTAAAATAACACTTGAACATGTCCCAGAACCTGCTATATCAGGAATTAAAAGAAATTTAAATGCATTGTGTATTTTTAATTAATTTAACTTTCCTTTACATTTCAATAAGTTATCAGTAGAAAATACCAAGAGTTACAGGTGCAGAAAGTATTAAAAGCACAGAGGGTTTCTGTCAAACCTTAGGAAATAGCACTTCATTGTTGTTGTTGTTTAAAAAACCCAAAGGCTTAAATTCCATGAGGTATTATTTGAATTCTCCAACAACATCTATATTATACAAAGTTTATTCCAGATGTATTTAAAAGACAAACCATATTCTGATTGACAGGTTTCCAGTGCATTTAATCATATCCTGTACAACACTTTATGTAAGTCCTGGTATCCTGGGTATTTTGAGATCAGATAATGCCTTAGAGGACACAGCTGAGATACAGAATTGTGAAAGAGATGTTTCATTTAATTATAGCTTTCACTTTACTGTTTCACATTTCAAATGTAATAGAAGATAAATATTGAGAAAATGCAGTCTCTTATCCAAAAGTTACATATGTTTACTGACCCTTCCTTAAGGTAATTGTAAAGAATCTGCTTAGCAGTCTCTTCATTTGTTTGCTGTGCAAGATCTTGCTGGCCCTTTAGGAGATCAGGAGTTGCCTAAAAGATAAAGATAAATTGTCAAAAGATAAAAATCCTGTGAGAGTTGTAAATACAAACAGTATAATTGGAATTCCCCATTCCACCCTATTAATGAAAACTTTTATGTGCTATGGACCTGAAGTTCTGAAAGATCCACTGGAGTTTTGCCTTACTGCAATAAGAAACCATACTCCACACCAAAAGAAAAAAGAAAACTTCATTTTGCATACATATCTTTTCACTTTCTACTTTTGTGCATGTATGCTTAAGAATCTTGATATCTGTTCAGCCTCACCATCTTCCTTTACCCATACAAAAATCAGTTGTTTTACAAATCAGGTTTTCTATACTTACAACAACAACAAAAAATTATATTTACATTTCTCCAGAACAATCCCATTTGTAAGTATTGTACTATGGGAGTTTGTTCTAATGAAGACCAGAAAAATACACAATTAACAATAGGGCAGCTTTCATATGCAAAGTGCAAAGGATAGCTTAAAGAATGAGCTCAAAATTACCTGTATATTAGGGACAGATGAACATGTTTTTACAGAAATCTTCTTGGCTCCTGATTCAGGTGTAATTGCAATTCGGTTTGGCAACAACAAAGTAGAAGTTACTGTTTTAACTTCCTCTCTCTTACTCTGTCCTGGGAGTGTAGCTGATCTACCCACCAAGCTCTCTGTATCTGTTCCATTCTGTTTATGGTGTTGCAAAGAGCTGAAACTGCTGCTCTGGGCGTCTTTATTGGGCATTTGCAGTTTTCCAATACTTCGAGCAGAAATCTTTGTCTCTTTGGAAGGTGACTTTTGATCTCTGGATAACTGCTTGTGAAGGCAAACTTTAGACGGTCTCAGCAAGTGCTCCGCTGACTTACCCAAGCTTTTACTGAATTCACCTAAATAATCTGAATTTACATCAACTCCTAATGACAAGGCACTATCAACGCTTCTTGATCTTTTACGGTCATCTGGATGAATTCTGTTCCTTTTTCCTGACCTGCCTCTTCTGTGAGCATCAACTCTCTTATCAAACTTTTCAATTAGCTGATCTACTCCTGGAAGGGAACCAGTGTCAATATCACGACCAGTTCCCGGCAAGAATGGAATGTATCTCCTGTTTTCGTGGCGGTTCACGTTGTCCGCGTAGATGGCGTACTCTTGGTCATCCAGCAAAAATCTGTACAAGGAATTGGCAGAAGTAGGAGTGGCTGATGAGGACGAGGATCTTCGGGAGTCAGTCAGTACTGGCCCAGTGGAATCTTGCCTGCGGAAGGGAAGAACATCTGGCCGTGGTTTCCTTGTCTCGGGATAAGCATTGGGACTAACACAGGGGGATCCTCCTGCAGGTGAAAATGTCTCTGAAACACACACGTCACTGGGGCTGAGCGTGCTACTGGGACAATCCTGCAGCTGCTTACTTGGATCTTCTACTGACCTGTTGAGATGCATTTTTTTTGAATTTGCTTTGGTTGACTCAGCAAGATATGTATTTGTTTTTTGTAGAGACACTACTTTAGATGAGGAAATCCAAGGCTTTGCTTCAGTTTTTTCATCTGCAAAAGACTTAGATTTACTGCATACAGAAGACTGGTAATTATCCAAGTTCAAATTATTTTTTTCAGGATCATATGGCTGCAAAAGTTCAGGATGTCTTTGAAAATTCAACAAATTTGAGGATTTCATAGTTTCATCTTTAAAATCTGGCATTCCACTTTCCTTTTCATGGACATTGGTTATCTGCAGTTTTTTAGGCATAGAGGGTTGCACGTGCTGTGTTCCAGCAAATTTTGTATGTTCACTGGTTTTGTCCTCCAATTTAAAAGCAGTATTGGAGTCCACAGCTGGCTTGTGTACAGTCTGAGGAATGACCTGCTGCTCTTTTCCAGGAGGAGGAGGATTTTCTGGCAAACATCCTTCTGTATTGTTCAGTACTATGTAAGGATGTCCATCGATTCCTTGGACTCTAATGCTGACACCGTAAGACCCTGTCCTAGAATTTAGCGCATTTTTCGTTTTTTGAGTCTCTTCGCTTGCAAGTTCAAGAGTGACTTCATAGTCCTGCTGCATGTGCTTGAAACCAGCAAAATATGACTCCATGTCTATCAGAGGATTATACCTGAACAGGAGAAAAATTACAAAATTCTCATTGTTTTAAGCAAGTTAGAGTGTTTCATTAATTACTTTCTCCTACCATTCAATGTGACGATGAAGACTAATGGCAATAACGCAGGGAAATCAATATCCAAGCTCTATCAAGCCCAAAGCGAATACACTGAGGTACAAAGACAAATGTCAGACTGACACATTCTGATCAATGTCATGTCATTTTACAAATGTTACCTTCACAGAGTTTGTGCTCATTGCTTTGGAATCAAATTACTTTAAATATAAACAACTCTGTACAATTTTTTGAGTCAAAGCATGACTTCTGAGTATTTCCATTATATTTACTGAAAACTGTACCCTTCACAAACCAGTGATCATTTTAAAGCCAGCATTTAGTACCAGCCATATTAACATTTAAACATAAGCCCAGGAGACCAAAATACAACCAGGCAGTTTAAGGTTTTATGAGTTTCAGGTACCTAAAGCACTGCAAGGAAGGTCAACATCCTCATTCCTTTGAGTTGTGGTTTTTATGTACTTGGGTTTCAACATTTGTTTCCAATGACACCTTAAAATAAACATTTTCATTTATTATCTCATTGTCATCCCAAAGAATAACCTTTCTGACAGATTAATTTAACAATCTCCCAAATGCAAGCTTGTTCAAAAAAACTCCAGTTGCTATTTTAAAACAAGATACTTGCTGAGCAACAAAAATGGAAAAACACTGCTCATATTTCCAAGGCTGACAGTGCCTTTTTCAGATGCAACAGGAATGCTAACTCCAGCCTATATGTGCCAAAACTGTTTCAATCTAGAAAACAATAAATTCAGCCCTACCTGTGTTTTTAATGTTAAATGCCATTCTTTCTTTCTCTAACAGCTGGGTTTGCAGGCAGATTTACTTTAGTCTGTTGCAGATTATGAGCCAACTGTCTAAAGGCAGAGGCAGTGCAGTGACAGTACGAGTGTGTCCATAAAAGAATGGAACACAGGACTGTGAGTCTCATACAAAACCTGGAGGGAATAAACTTTTGAACTGAGCTGGGGAGTTGAGTCATCACTGCGGCCTGACAAAGCCAAGATCACTGAGCGATGGTAATCAGCAAGAGGAAACCAAAACAACAGGATGTCTCATGGAAAAACAACCCTCTGCAGCCAGTTTCACTCTCCTGTCTATCTCAGCAGGAACCACCTCCCTCAGATACTCCACTCAAGAGCAGAGTTCTCATTTCTTCCTGACAGCAAATGAAGAAGTTTGGCTCAATATTCATAGTACATTAATTTCTACCCAATTCTTCCTCCTAGCAGGAAAGCTCCCCTCAAAAACCTCTTCCTCTCTAAAAACCAACTCCAGCTCCTCCTCAGCAGCAGCCTTATAAACTGAAGTCTCACATGGCACATTCACGTGTGAGCCTTTGAGAGAAAGCCCAGATGTACACACAGTTGGTAGCACTCATCTGTAGTGGAGGAGTGTGTGAACATCTTTACTGAAAGCTCTCCACTCAACAATCCCAGCCAGATTAGAAATGCCACCAATACAAACCAAGGAGTATATGGAACTGCACACTACACTTTCAAGCTGTGTTAGCAGACCTATAAAAGGAGTAAAGTTTATCTGAATTTTTCAACAATGGCAACAACTAAAAAAATATAAAAAGAAGTCAATAAAAATAAACCTAAAAGCAAAAAAAATAAAAATTATTTATATCAATCAGCATAAGGAACAAATAAGCAATACATTGCAATACAATTACAATGTTTGGGGGTGATTGCAAATGCAGTGCTTTCAAACTTGTTGCAAAGTTGCTAAAAATATTAAACAACCAGAAAAAAACCCCAAACATCCCTCATCCCCTCAAAAATAACCACAGAACACCAACTCCCCTACTATATAGGGGAAACAATATTTAGGTCAATAACCTACCTTAAATGAATATGTTTAATTTGTCTCTAAAACCATAGAGAAGTATGTGTATTTGTCTTCTTCACATGCATTGTACTAACAAAACTCTTAATTTTACTGTAGAAAAGGATAAAACCTTGTAGAAATAAAATAGCTAAACAAACAATTTTTTAAATAACACATTTTATCTTTCTGGAACTGTGAAAAAAAAGATTACATTTATAAATTCCCATGACATCAACAAGAAAACAAGACAGATGACCCTATTATTCAAATATTTGAAGGTTTTATATAGAATTTTTATTTTATAGCATGTCAAACTGCATTGTGTAATACTCACATGAACTACATAATATCAAATAGTTGTTTTACAATACACAATAAAGTGGTTTTGCAATTTTGTAAGCATTTTTAAATTAAAGAAAAAGCACTACTGGCTTTCATCACACACAGCCTTTCTGAGGAAATCCTGAAACTATGTTAATTGATTAATTACAGTTACAGTCATTCTCCTGCACACACATCGTACAGTCACATCTCAGGCTCTGCCAGGGTTACAGCAACAGAGCAGGATAAGAGGACTGAAGCTGTTCCTCTCCCATCTGTCTGCCCCACTCCTCTGACAGATGTCACCCTGTCAAAAATGAGAACATCTGGAACCTCTGCTGGCTCAGTACACACCTCAGCCCTGGAAAACTGCAGACTGGCACACTGGGGTAAATGAAATCAGCTCGTGCTCCGTGCTGTGACCGACCGAGATCCTGACATCTGATCCGTGCAGGAGCTGACAGCTGGGGCCCTGACAGCTCCAACTGCCCGCCTCTAATCTCCTCTAAGGCTGCTGAAGCCTCAAATGTTATGACAAAACAGTCTGTTCACTCTTCAGCTGATGAAAAGAGCTTGGATAGTTCAATGGCAGCTGGGAAGGCAATTTCCCTGTTTGTGTGGCTCTTTGTTACATACTTGTAGTTACTTAAAAAAATAAAGAAGCTTTTTTTTTGAAATAGAAAGTGATGTAAGTCCTAATTCCAGGTTTTCTACCAAAGTAATTCTTTAAATTTCAAACAATACTGTCTTGCTAGTAATTTTATTTGCTATCTCAGAGTTTACAAATACAATTTTGAGAAAACAGAAGCAATGACTCTATTGAAGTTTTAAATAGGTGAACAACTGTCATTCTGTTATGAAACCAGTTCCTATCTCCTATCTTGAAGTGTCATTACAACATCACATACAAATTAATCAGGATGTAAGAAAAGACTAGTTCAATAAATTATTTTCTTTTGAAAATATTCTAAAACAGACAATATAGTCAAGGACACACAATCATCAGCATCTTGCTATCAGGTCAGCAGGTAAGATACCACAGAATGATGGGATCACCTATTTTGTCAGCAGCATGGCCTTGGACTGCTTGAGGTGAGCAGAAAATTTCAAACTGATTTTGTATTTTAACTTCATTGTCAGGGATAGCAACCTTCAAAAACTTCTGTGAACAAGTAAACAAAACTGGCACTCAAAGCTGCTCAAGCCTGTCAGTTTTGAGATTTCTTCCTAAAATAAGACTTCATAAAGGTGCTTAAACAGTCATTTTAAAAACTGACTTCAGTGGCTTTGGAAGTCCCACATTTTGCCATTACTCAGAAATGGTTCCATTTTTCTGAACAACTTCTTTTTGCCAAAACCAGAAACTATGACATTTTTTGTTTGTAAAGATAACTTGTCAGCAGAGGTTTTCATACCTGAAAATCCAATACTCTGCATGTTCTTCTGTAGCACTTTGTTGTACAGTGGTGATATGATACTCTACAAAGAACCACAGGATATGAACACTGAAGGTTTAAGAGGTCAAAACCTTTTTTTTAATTCCTTAAAAACATTTCCTTTCACAGCTACTTTATAGCTAGCTCCCAGGAGCTATGTGAGCCCTGCTCACAATAAAGAAAAGCTCTGGCATGTGGAACCCTGGCTGCTGTCCCTGCAAACACGGGCAGAGAAGAGTTCCTTTGAGAAACATCCTCCTGGGCCAGACATGTCTCTGCCCTTCTTAACATTACAGCATCACAAAGGCATGGAATTGTCTCCACCACCCCTTCCAGTTCTTTAGCCAAATCTACAAGGCAGATTTATTCAGAAAAATTCCTTTCCCAATGCTGTTAAATGCCAAACTCTGCATGGGAAGCTTGCTCCCTGTATCCTGCCCACACACCCTCATCACAAGCACATCCCACCTTGTGTTCCAGCCTGTGAGCCAAGCACCTGCTCTGGACAGACAGACAGACGGTCCAGGCAGAGATGGTGACCACAGTGAGGGGACACACTGTCCATCCCACCAATGGAAATGTCCCCTGGCCTCCTGAAGGAGCCACACACCACCCTTCAAAGGTATTGCCTCCCATTACACATCTGCTCCTTGTGCACACATCCTGTGAGGGAATATGGAGGAAGAAAAGAGATCTGACTTTTTTATGGCACAAGGACTCCTCCCTGGCTCCCTTAATGTCAGAAAACCAGGGACATCCAATATCACAATCCTGAGTCTCCTAAGACTGGATCACCTGAAGATTTTTCATTAAAGGAAGATGTGGGCATATCCCATTATCTCCTCTTTGGAGGAGAGAACTTTGAGAATTCTGAAAATTTTAAACTATTTCAGGCTAAATTACAAATTATATTTGGTTCTATGTAAATTATTTCCAAATTTTTATTACCATAAGAAAAAAAAATCCTCATGGCCCACATTATTTAACCAGTTGTCTTTTTTGAAAAAGCAGGATGTAACAATTTATGAATGTTTACTTCAGATATTGCACATGCACAGCAAAATGTCAGGAAGGAACTATAAAATTTGTTCTCCAGCCTTACATAACACTGAGCTTGCTCTCCAAGCTAAATAATGGATTCTCTGTGCAGCTGACTATTCAGAAAGTATCAGCAACATCACACAAAGTGAGTGTTAGGTCAATAATAAATGACAGTGTTATGGAAAAAGGACAGGAAAAAACTTTACGAGAGAAGAGGAAGGAAAACTTACATACTGTGAGGATAAAGAAAAGGAAACAGACAGGATAATTCATGGAAAGAC